CTTTGGCTCCTTATTTAAAAACAGGTCAGTTCCCACTGTTCCCAGAAGGCTTTCCAGTGTACACTCAGATATTGAAAGTCCCATCCCAACATCCTTTCTCTCTATTCACAATATACTTGCAGAATTTGAGAATATGGCTTGTCCTGAAGGCTTACAACAAATGCTTCAATTTTCTATTCTCCAAATAAAAATCAATGGCACCAGAGAGGTAAAATCAATGTCTAGCGCTCTGTAGGGAGAAGCCCCCCCCCCCCCCCCCCCCGCATCTGTGGTAAAGAGATGGGGGGGAGGGGCTTCTCCCTACAGAGCCATCCCGACTGGCAGCAAATCCCTAAGGGCAGAGCCCTCTGCAGGTCAAGTGACTTTCTGTCCAGCCATCTGTCCCTTGCAAGGGTATTTTATTTAAGAAGACCCGGGAGAATATTTTTTTAAAACTTAAGTCAGTAAAAATAACATATGGCTGTGTTAAAAACTCTTCTTCCCCAAACAAACCCATTTTCCAGGGGGATCTTTGGCAGCGAAGACCAGAGTTTGATCTGTCTCCCTAAGGACCCATTTTCCATTATCAAGCCTTAGAGAATGTGTAGGTACCCCAGACAGCCAATGACAGGCTTCCTGTCACCACAGATTAGCTTGCATTCTCTAGACTTTCTTGTAAATGTAAATCATAGGATATATACTCCTTTTTAAAATTGGTCTGTCTCCTTTCGCTCAGTACACTTATGACATTCATTCATGCTGCCAGAGGTATCAATAGCCAACTTCTTTTTATTGCTGAGTAGTGTTCCATTATAATAGAGGAACCACATTTTGTGTATCCATTCATCTGTTGATGGGTATTTGGGTTGTTTCCAGCTCTTTGCTACAGCAAATAAAGCTGCTATGGACATTCATGAGTGAGTCTCTGAATGGACCTATGATTTCATCGCACACTCTAGGCACAGATCTTTTGTCGTACATATGTTTCGCAAATATTTCCTCCCAGTGTGTCTCATCTTTCTACTTTCATTGCAGTATCTTTCGAGGGTCAAAGTTTTTAATTTTGATTACATCTAATTTGTTGATCGCTTTATTTTGGCATTTATAGTTCATGGTTTTTGTCTTACTTAAGAAACCTCTGTCAAATCTGAGGTTACTACTCTTGTTTTCTTCTAAATGTTTTATAGTATTTTCTCTTATACTTATGATTCATTGGTTTGTAGAAACAAAGAAATACTCGTTTATAAATATTAATTGACGAGAATTAAATAATAACAATATGAATTTTTATATAGGCACCCCCTGATAATCAAGCTTTGATAGAAACAAACCACTGGGCAAAAACTATGAATGAAAGGAAATATGTTGAAATTTCTTGATTCCTATTTTAAGACTATAGGACCATGGTTTATTTATTGTTTCTTTTTACTTTTCTATGTTTTCTGTAATAAGCATCATCTATCATTATTAAAAAAAATTGCAATATTGTAAAAACAACATTGAAGAGAAGGTTTCCCAATTCCAAGCCGACTTCACAATGCTCTTTAGTGCATGGACAGCCCCTTTTGGAGAACCAGAAGGGTGAGCACACTGCCAGGAACCCCTCTTTCCCAAACTTAATGGCAAGAAGAGATGTAATAAAGAATTTCCAAAGAAAAGTCTCCAAAGAAAATATGAGTTTAGCTGAAGCTGCTAGGAGAAAACAGACAAAACCAAACACAACCCTGATTTAAAAAAAAAAAAGAGAGAGAGAGAGAGAGAGAGAGAGAGAGAGAGAGAACCACAGCGGAGGGAGGGAGGGAAAGAGGGAGGGCTGGTTGCCTGGCTTGCTCCACCCCCAAATTGCTTGCCCTGAGTTCTGTAGTCACAGACCTGTGTACCAAACCACTAGCTTCACTCACTCCAGCTCCACCAGCTAGGGAAGCTAATGAAATTCTCTCCCTGATGTGCTCACCATCCTTTTATCTCAATCTGCTTGCAAAGTCTGCAGCCTCATAATCAGCCCACGGCTGGTCCAGCCGCCTCTCTGTGTGTGTGCACTCCTGCCTGTCTGGCGGCAGAATTTGCCTCTTGAGCTGCTGCAGAGGCCAGATTGGCTGATGGAATTGCCTACAGATGTTTCTCAGAGAGAAAGATTACTTCCCTGATTGATGAATAGATAGAGTTGTCAACATGGTCTCTATGGTCAGAGGGGACCCCTGAAGTATAATGTGGAAAGACAGATGTTTCATCTGGGAAGGTGTCCAAGACCCTAAGAAGAGGTATGCATTTGGCTGATATGGCGGCCAGAGTAATTCAGGCTCTGAGGGGGAGAGGAGGGAAGCTGGACCCACAGCCACAGCCAACACCATTGCAGGGCCTCCGGGTTCAGGCCACCTCCCAAATGCTATGAACGGAGTGGCATGCCTCCTTTGGGCTGTTTTTCCAATGGACAAATAGGCCATGTTATCAGAAATGGAGTCATCTTCTTAGTCCTTATCTCCTGTGAGTCACAAAAGGGGTAGCAGAAAGGACACTAGGATCCTCAAGCTAAACCTCCAGGTTTCCAATCAGACTGGGAAGGGGCAAGGCACCTGGAGTGAGCATGCAACTTTGGAGTTTTCTGGCTGACCTTCCAGAATGAATCAGATAATAATAACAACTACCAATCATAACTGTTTTAGTAATTGGAAGATAATTATCATTATGTGACACTAGTTTATGTACTTTATGTATACCTTTACCTTATTGAACTCTCACACAAACGTACACACAAAATACCCTATGCAAGGATTAGTAAAATTTACTGCCCATAAATCCTCTCTGCAAGACTTACTAGAGGATGTATTCCAGCAAATAGAAAAGAGGGGTGGAGTAAATACTTTCATTAAACCCATTTCACAGATGAGGAAGTACAGATTCAGGAAGGTAAAGTAATTCATTAAGGTCACATGGCTAGGAAGCAGCCAACCTTGGAATGGAGCCCAGATTGGTCTCATCCTCAAATCCATGCTTTAGCCACTGCAAGTCTGTGGGCACCAGGAGATGTGGGAGATGAGGACTACACTTCCAACACAGCAAGAATGTGCTGGTGCTTCCAACACAGACACGTGGTGTGCCCAGAAAACCACTATTTACACCTGGATGTACCTGAATGCCAATGAGACTCCTGCCTCTGCCTCAAAGAGATTTTAGCTCAAAACTAAAAATCTCTTTTCTGGAACTTCCAGAAAGGCCTGTATTCCAGGAGGAAACAGGTAATGGGCTCTCCACACCCCACACATACACACGCATGCACACATACACATACAAACACACATACACATATACACACATGTAGATATATACACACATACACACACGTAGACACACATACAGACACACACAGCCAGGTGGCTCAACAACCCAGAGCACTGGCCCAAAGTGTGTTTGGAATTTGCAGCAAAAGAGGACATATCATCCCTCCTTCAGAGAAAGAAGAAGAAATCAAGTGTGGCAGAAGACCCTAGGGTAGTTTTCTCAAGGTATGTATGTCTTAAAAGGAATTTCTAATAAAAATTATTTTTTTTTATATCCCATTCCACAGCAAAATTGATTTTCATTGAGGGTGGAAACAGGGCCTCTTGTTGACCTCTCTGGCCTCAGGGCCTAACGCGAACCTGCCACACAATAGGCATGGAGTAGGAGGACAATGAATTGAGGGTAGACAAGGACAGGCCCATGGAGAGGCCAACACAAAGTAGCGATAATAAACATAAGCTGTGGAGCTCGACAGCCCTGGTTTGAATCATGGCTGCTGCTCACTAGATATACAAGCAAATCGCCAACGCCTCTCTCTGCCTCAGTTCTCTCATTTTTAGAGTGAAGACAAACATAAACACCCACTTGGCAAACTGGCTGGGAGAATTCAAGGATGGTGGTGTTGAGCTCAATGCCGGGCACATGCTTGGGATTTGGGGTGAGACCTCCTTACTTCCAGGAGGAGCACTCCTGTCTGAGGGAACAGCAAAGCATCAGGTCCCACAGACACAAAGGCCGACTATTGTTAGATGGACATCAGCTAGGCCTGCTGCTGCAGGCACCACGTTTGTAGAGGCCCATGATGGGGAGGCTCTGCTCTTGTGTCACTCCTGCTGGACCTTGTTTCTGAGGACAGAGCTCCTCAGGCAGGGTCAGAGGAAACCGAGGAGAGGGTTGAGGGAAATTAAAACATCTTCCTCGCAAACTGCTGAATCTAGAACCGGAAGTCATCACTCCTGGGCCAGTGCACACCTCTCTGTTGTCCAGGCAGTGTAAAGAGAGGGGCGGCATAGGCACTGAAATCACCTTTCTTCCCCCACCACACATCCAACACCCCTCCTAAAAAACGCCTGCTTTTTGGGTCTGTGTCTCTGTTTTCCTGCTTGTGAGTACTTTGCAGGACTGAAGGCAGAAGTAGCCTGAAATCAAAGGCTCTTTCTGTCATTTGTAAAAGCCTATGTCCACTGGCTGGATAATGCTGGGAATGGGTTGGGGAGACAAGGCTTTGAGGACCCTGAAGAACAGTGGGGAGATGTCCCCCGGGCTAGGGAAGAGAGACTATCAGACAATGCCCCTGTGTGAAGAGCAAGACACTTTATCAGATGGAATGGTGGTGTGCTGGGCACTGGGCCAGACAAAGATGCCACATTCTATATGGCCACGACACAGACAGTCCCTGGTGGTCATGTCAGTGGCATCCAGGAGACCAAAGGTCCCGCCAGTGTTTTCTTAGCTACAAGCTTCCTGGGCCCTGGGGTCATTCTGGGAGGAGGCAAAGGGTTTTCTGTTCCTCTGCTCAGACAAGGGCTCAGAGTCAAGTAAAGTGGATGTAAAGGAAATAAAGATATTGACATTCTTTGCAAATCTGTGTCTGAGGACCACAGCAGGAGTCCAGGCACCAAATACCACATCAAACCACAGCACAAACACCCGCTTTGCCTCTGCCTCCTGCTCCCCAGTCAGCGATGGCGCACCCCCAGATCCGCCAGGCGGAGAGCACCCCGGCCTCCTTCCTGCCTTACCTGGGAAGCAGGTGCTTGCGGCTGACACACAGGGCCGTCTGGTAGTCCTGGGTCACACACACCTTGTGAGGGCTGCACTTCACCTTCAGGCAGGGGTCTTTGGACGCGTCCAGGGCTGAGGCAAAAAGGAACAGAAGCGGGCGGTTAGGACCTTCAGGGAATGTCTAATTTCTATTTCTACTCAAATAGGCGAGTGGGATGTAAACACACCATGCGTGTGCACTCTGCGTTGTTTTCTTAGGCTGGAGGAGATTGGAATGGAACCGACACGGGGGAATTCTGTGTCTACCGCACATGTTTTCTTCACATCAGGAAAGTGATTCCATTGTGCCATGGGGACCCGCTGCATCTTCATCATTGGCAGAAATTACTTTTAAAATCCTCTAAATCCTACATGCTCCAAGGACCCAGAGCTATTTTCCCTCTTTGGTTATTTGTCTGCCATTGCTTTTTATGACTTCATCCATGCCTAATTCTACTTATTTCCTACAACAGGCAAAGTCCTTGAGGACAGAGTTTTTTGTTCTTGTGTCTTCAGGGCCTTCAGTTCAATCCAATGGACGCTGTGCATACATAAGCCTATTTCAAGTTTTGTGAAGAACTTCCAGAAGCACAAGACAGTTCCGTGCCGCACGCAGTTACAGTACAATCGGGAGGGGGAAAGCTTCCCCATAAATATTTATTGTGCAGGGAGAATTAGATAAGGGCCATGACGGGCATGTAAAGCGATAACAGAGCCGGAGAGAAAAACAGAGATCAATTTCTGGGGCAAGGATTAATGAAGCATTAATATGAGAATTGGATTTTGAAGGATGGGCAGGATTTTGAAAAGCAGAGAGAGAAAAGACACCCGAGGCCGGGTGGCCACCTCCTCCAATGAAGGGGAGCATGTCTGGGCAATCATAAGATATTCCATCTGACTGGTAAGTGAGCTTTGTGCACGGGAATAATGACAGCGAAGAGAGTTGACTCAACCAAGCCACTGGAGAAAGGGTCTCCGAGAACAGCAGTTCCTACAATGCCACACTTCCTAGAACGGGCAGAGCAGCAGGCCCCAGCTCCTCAGCACCACCTGCTCCGGTGGCTCCTCATCAAGGCAGAGAAGTGACCACAGGGGAGTCTCTGCAAAGCAAAAACAGCTGTGCCACCTCCCGGCTCCAGGGCCTGACGCCCGTGAGGCTGTAGCTCTCTCATGACTGCCCTCCTGGGCCAAGGAGCTGAGCCTCCCCATGTCCTCTCCACCAAACATTTGGTTAAACAAATCAGCTTCCAGAGCAGGGACAGCAACACAACCACGAGAAATGCCATCCTTCCTCCACCTCGGGTCCCTCACCCTCACCATCTCCCTGCACACAGCCAGTCACTGTTCCTCAGCCAGCCCAGGCCTCGAACCTCAGCACCATTTTCCTCAGACGGCTGCTGGGAGTGTCTCCAGGGACCTGAACACAAACATCTAAAGGCATTTCTGCTGCCTGCACAGCTCAGGGTGCGCCCTCTGCGCAGCAGCCTTGGCGCTGGAAACAGAAGCCAGGTGCGTTGTTAGGCCAGTCAGGTCGGGGACAAGGCTGCGTCCTGGTTGGTCCCAGGGGAGCCACGTGGCAGAGCTTGCTTCCCAAGGAACCCGCTGGAGCTCAGCAGGAGGAAATGAGCTGCCAGGGAAGAGAGAGGCCGCCTGGAGCCCCCTAGAAAGAGCGCCCGCTTTGAGCTCCTGCGCTGAGGGCTGCCGCCTGCACTCTGGGTCTGCCCCACAGTCCTCTGGGTGGATCCCTCTTGGTCCTGGGGACTTCCATACAAGAAGCCCGAATGCTGGTGTGTCTCAGGCTGCCCTGTCTCCCACCCACCAATCCAGGTGGCAGGCCAACCAACTTTGATTACTTTCCAAGACGCATCCAGGCTTGAACCCACAATAAAGACTGATGACCACGTGACAATTAATGAGGACCATGCTGGCCCTTAGCTGCCCCTCTCACACTGCAAACCAACTCAGGATGAAGTACACTTACGGATCTCAAGAAACTTGGGGCCAGACCACTGACAGCCAGGCCACAGGTGCCAGCCGAGGCTCCCCAGGCAGGTGCCAGCTAACAGGCTGGTTTAGAAAGACGGTGCCACAACCTACCTGCAGTACTACGTGACAAGCTTTATGGCCCAATTGGAGCTTCTTCACAAACATGCCAACTTCATAAACATGCGATGTCCACACGGCAGCCTGCAGGGCCTCACTGGACAGTAGTCCTGAGGCGTGTCTGTCAGCTGATATCATGGGGAAGAACACAGACCCTCAGCCCCGTGTTTCTGAGTTTGAATGCTGGCTCTGCTGCTTACCAACCTTTCCCTTCTTCGGTGTCTCTCCTGTGAAATGGGGTAATAACTGCACTTACCTTTGCTTTTGGTTCTCAGGAGGATTGAATGAGTTAATATTTGTAAGTACTTAGAAAAGACCTTGTACATTTAAGTGCTTAGCACAGACATCTTAGGTGTTTGTTAATTTAGTGTGTCTGTCTTTTGTTCTCAGAGTGAATAATAAGCCTCCATAACAACAAGAACAATAGTTAACACTTGCCCAGTGCTTTTGACATGCAGGCAGTGAACTAAGCCCTCTAATTGGATTACCATATTTCATTTTCACAACACCCAAGAAGGTAGCTGCTGCTAATATCCCCATGTTACAAATAAAGGTGAGAGGAGCAGAGGGCATTTGACACCTGGTGGGGGACCCCAGGACCCAAACTCTTACCACCACAAGCCAACAGCAGAGGATCACCTGGAATCTCCATTTAAAAAAAAATAATAATGTTTTCATTGATTTTTAAAGAAAGGAAAGAAGAGAAAGTGATGGAGGGAGGGAGGAAGAGAGAAAGAGACTTGAAAGAGAAACACTGGTTGATTACCTCCCATATACACCCCAACCGGGGATCAAATTTGCAACTTGGGCATGGGCTGACCAGGAATCGAAACAGCAACCTTTCTGTGCACAGGACAATGCCCACCCAACTGAGCCACACCAGTCAGAGCTAGGATCTCCTTTTAAAAGCTGCCGTGGCCCTCACCTCACAACAAATATAAAGCCAGATGCACCATGTTCCGGAGAGGCCTTCCAGCAGAATGAGCGTTAGGGGTAAAAAAGCAGGGGCAGCTAGGGGCCTGGTGCTGCCACGGCTGGGCCGCTCACATACCACCCCAGAAGGTGGGGTGCCAGCTCTGGGCAAGTGCGCCCTCTGCATACCCCCTCTGAACGCAGCCACTACCCACATGAGTCAACTGAAGGGTGGGCTGTTCCATTTTCTTTCTGCAACCTTGCCATCTGTCACCCTAGCATTAGGCTGCTAGTACTGTAGGTCACCTCCCCCTTGCCCCACGCTAGACACTAGCACTATTAAAACAAACAAAAAACTCCAACCAAAAATACTAAGTAAAAACCATCAGTTATTTAACTCTCTATGCATACTTCCTTAACAATTTGCATATAAAAATCAAGTAAGCTAAAATTAATTATCGGGGACTGAATACTTCAAACACGTATGTGAATTATTTAAGTGAACTTCACAGAACAACAGAACAGTAACAGATCAAGCTGTCAGAGTTTATTTAATCACTAGGATCCGTCTTGTTTTGAAAAACAGCACCACTGGGATGTAAAGGGGAGGTGGATGGTGAAAGGAGTGTGTCGGTTCCATTTAAATGCGGCCTCAGTACGCCTTCCCAGCAGCCCCCAGGCTCAGGTGACACTCCTGAAAGGTAACACTTATGAGAAGCACCCAGCACAGGTCTCAGACAGAGCCATGCGGCTCCACTTCTAAAGGGAATGATAAGGCATCAGAATAGCGAGTGGAAGAGGCTCCAATAAGGTTCCGGGAACTGGTGCAGGTGCGGAGGGAAGGGGCGAGACCGGCTGAGTGTCAGGGATAACCCCGACCAGCTCCTTGTCCAGGTGCTAATGATTTCCGGAGACTGCACCAACCTCTGCTCACGGAGCACATGCCTCGTGTTGGGATGCAGCAATCCCCGTAACTCAGCAAAGCCGACCCCGTCCCCTCTGCCTCTTCTGTCTCAATAACCTGCAGGACTTACGTGGACTTAAATAGGACACGGAGTCTAGCACAGAGCAGATACCAACAGGAGGTCAATGTCATCTTTCCTGCCCAAGAACTAGTGTCAACCAGCACATGATACATGTCCAATTAATTTTTAGATATTTTTTACAAAAGCTTTTCTCAGAGAAAAAAAAAAAAAAACCACAACAACATGAATTAATTTAGAGAGATTTGTTGAGCAGGAAACACGGAATTCAAAAGCCAATTAATTATAGGTTACATGTAATTTAAAATTAATTTTATTCTTTAAGCTCACTGCTTGGTCTCAATTAAGGTACTGTAGTGATATTTTAATTATCCTAATTGTTTCCGAACTTGTTTTCAGTTCGAGTTATTTTTTAATTAGCTACATTGGCTTGAAAACCCTAACGCAAGCCTTTTCTCGGTCCTCGGGCACATCCTGCAAGCTCACAGGCTAAGGGCCATCCAAGCTGTCGCAGCCCAGCCGGGACCCCCTCCTTGATGCCGAGAGGAGAGGATGTTTCATTTTGTGCTCGGCCCTAGGGTCCCTGAGAGCCGCCTGGGGGAGGAACACATGCTTGTGTTTAGCCCATTAACAGTTATTTGCAGAGCCTCCATTCTATGCAGGCCTATTTTGGCAGGTGGGATCCAGCCTTCCCAGGGGTTGGGGGAGACTTCCTGGGGAGACTGACATCTATGGAGAAGTGTGCTTAACCCTCATAAGAGATTGAGGAAGAACCTTCTGGATAAAAAGAAGTCCCTCTCCCAGATGCAAGAGAAACCATAGCAGACTTGGGACCTGCAGTATTTCACCAGGCCAGAGCCGGGGGCAGGAGGGTGAGTGAGAAGGCTGAGGGTGTGGCAGCCTCATGGCAAAGGGCCTCAAAACCAGTGAGGACACTGGAGCCCCGCTCCCGAGTCTCATGACGACACCCTCCCATGCTGGGTACCAGTGGGCACCTGCTCTGTGGTAGAAGGGGTAGGAAGGGAGAATCCTTTTCACACACTTTATGTGGAAAGTGGCCCTTTGCTAAGAATTTATATGCTCACACCCTCATCC